CTGTTTATATAATTTGACAATGTCTGTCTTAATACCCAATTTAGTGATGTCTGCCTTAGTAGGTCTAATTTAATCAATTAACGTATGTTGAGTTTCTTTTTTCCCAGTTAGAGTATTAGCTTCTTGCTTACTATCTGCCCTTATACCTTTCAGAAAGTTAAGTAAAATACATTCTTTGAGAATAATTCCAGCTCTCTACCAAATAGTTGAAAACATGTACAGCCTGAATGTACTTAGAGGAAAGGATGGGAAAAAAGAAGCAAAGATGCATGCTGGCAATGGATCTATTTTAGCCTCTCTTCTGGGGTTGAAAAAGGTTTGGCAGCTTGTGTAGTTCGGGGGAGCAAGGAGTCCATCACTCTCTAGTGGTACTGTCTATATAAGCAGCCAAACCAGTTTAAACTTCCGTTGAGGGTTTCTGGAAAAGACCCTTTTGACAACCATTTTCAACATCCAAGACACTCCTGTAAGATGGAGACACACTACCAAAGCCCATTTTGGGACGGGAGGCCTCTTTCCTTTAAGGGGAGATGCAAACAGCATGGCCACACTACTTCACTAGTGCTCCCTTGGCTTATTCTGAGTAGAGTACCTGCCTGGAGACATCTAGTATAATAAGGGACCTACTGTACTATCCGATGTGGTTCCTGATGTATAAGAAAATTGAGGGACCTAATCTATAATATCATAGATAATAGTGATCTTACTAGTTACTGACCTTTCACCAAACAACATGAATTGAAGACTAGGGTTGTTGGCAGTCATCACCCCATACTTCCAATAAAGGACAACCAGCACTGCCAGTGGTGTTGAAGTTACAGATCTCTCTCACTATGGCCTAAGCCATGTCAATGATTGTATATGTGCTTCAAAATGGCAAGGACCAGTCGGAGTATAGCTCTCTGTTTGCCCATCCCTACAGTCTGGCAATTTTTGACTCAAGAGTGATCTCTACAGATGTAAATCTCTCCTCTGCAGGGATCAGCATTCAGCCAGTTCTCAGCAGCATTGCCCATCCCTCTTTTGCCACCCTAAGGTAACTACAGAAGGGGTGTAGCTGTCACAGCTAGCATCCTTTATAGAGACTTCCTGGGTAGAACATAAAAGGTAGGGGCTTCCTCTACTCATTACTCCAAAATATACTAAGGCATTCTCTGCCTCAGCCCGGTGTTGGGTGGGAGCCTAGTTTCTTTCCTTCTCCCACCACCCCATCCACCCCACAAAACTTTAATCCAACCCTCAGCATTGCTCTCGCCTCCAATTCCTTTCTCACTGAGGCTGGAGTTGGTGGACTTAGCAGTAGAGACATAGGTAGGGACCACCCCTAGGTTTCCCTAGCAGCTTATAAAGAACCATTTCTTTGAATCCTGGGTCTTTGATGCTGCCACCAGCAGTGGTGGGTCAAGACCATTTCCAGCTCATGTTGTTCTGGTATGGGGTGAGGCTGCCTTCACGACCCCTTGAAGGCCTATAGCTAATTCTGAAGGGGCAGATCATCTTGTGTGGCCACACAAAGCAGTCTCCTGAAGTTGGTTACTGGGTGTGTGGCTGGAGCAGCCTGGCACCCCCTGAAGTATTGGAGAGAGGGGGAGCTCCTGCCAGACAAAGGAGCGTCACTACCTTTTCTTTGCTCCAAAGACGTCAAATGCAAGGAGAAACTTCCTGAGTTCTTAATTTGAGCAATAGGGGAGTGAAACGTGTAGGGAGATGGGGTCCAGGGTATTGGGATTCGAAAGTTCAACTGTTACCTCAATATTGGGATATTTCATTTAAAATATTACCTGAATACAAATTTATACTCTTTGCACATTTTTTTTTGCAGTGCGTTGGCAAGAGTGTGTGAGAGAAGTTCTTAGATAAAGAGAAAATCCTTAGGTAAACAGCTCCCTACACCTTAAAGCCAAAAGGAAAAGTTTTTTGCGGTTAGTGGGATCATCATGGGAGGGCTTTGGTATAATAGTTCAACATTTGAATTCAGATGTTTGATTAATCCAATGTCAGGACCTCCCATCCTCTGAATCTGAATATCATTTGAATCTAGGGTATCAAGATGATCATATCTATTCAGGTGAATGTGGAAGGTTTTTACAGCCTATATCTGTTTGGAATCCAGCCACTGCTCTTAATCTCTGTTTTTTAAATACTAGATTAACTCTCAAATGTAAATGAAAAATGTTCAGTTTTTTAGTGAAATAGATTTTAGCAATGCTGTTGTGATATAATATTGCAAAATGAGATCTTTCTACCATTAAAATATAGACTTTCCATGTCACTGCAGCAGAGATTAGAGGCAGCACACACAATAGATATTCAGTATTCCTTACTTCACATTTTTTAGCCTCATTTCAAAGTTGTAACACAGATTGCCATACCATTTCAGACCAATAGTCAATCTAGCCTGGTTTCCTCTTTTCCCCAATGCGTCAAAAGAACGTGAAAAAATTGGGAAAGCCCAAACTAGTTTCGAGTTCTGTAATATATTGGCATGTGTCTTGGGACACAAGGATTTAACAGTATTAATTATTATAAAATAGTTGTATCACGGATACTATTGGAGAAAACTAAAGTAAAAGAGGGGTTCCTTTAGTCTTCATTTTCGTTTAAATAACAGATGTATAGCAAATTAAAGAAACAGATATTTTGTTGCATAGCCATGCACAGCAATTAGTGACTGTCCTAATCCATAAACATTTGTATTACTTATAAGGATATTTGATGTATGTCAGGAGAAAAATAAATACATCATGCCGTTGCTTTCCCAGTATTGTGTAATGTTGTTTTGTCCATGTTTTGTCAGGTGATGATGATGATGAAATAGCTGGTAAGATTGTGCATCCATATAAGTGTATCTCACTTAAAAAATATAATCAGTCTCGAGCTTTGTTGAACTACAAAATATCAGGACATAGACTGTTCATTTTGCTCAAAACTCAGGATTTCTTACTGATGTTTGATGATTAAAAACAAAGCAAAACCCCAAGCTTCAGATTTCAAAGCAGTGCAGGGGATTTTACCACAATACTGTCAATTTTAACACTATTTTAGGATCTATGCAGCTAATACAAGATCTTGTTCTGCTTAAAGGCTACTTTGTGTCTAAAATTATTTAAACCAATATAAAATTACTTTAAAAACAGTAAATTAATCTGCAATATAAAGCATTGTTGTAAGGCTTGTACAGTATTTCCCAGAAAATTCTTATTTTTTGGTGATACACAAACCAGAAAGTACATAACTTGAGGGTCAAACTCCACAATAATTTTGCAAGGCTGACAGTTTGAATTTCTTTGGGGTAAATTAAGCAAATTTGATATGAATTGAAAATCCATCGTGACAACATAAATGTGCCTTTTTTTTTTTAGTTTGCAATGTTGTAGCTTTGTTGGTTCCAGGATATTAGAGAGACAGGGTGGGTTAAGTAACATCTTTTATTGGACCAACTTAAGATATTACCTCACCTACCTTGCCCCCTATTTTTATAGTGACATTTTTACAAAGTTGCTTTTTCAGAATAGAACCACAGTTTGAGGGGATGAGGGGAAATGCAAAAATAACAGAAGCACCCACAGGAATATGACTAATGATCTGAGAGAGACTTGGATCGTCTCATTTTCAGCATTGTGTACCACTCACTAAATTCTGTTCATGACTTCTCAGTTGCTCTCTATTGTCTCCCAGAGAAAAGTGTGTTTCAGTGACTCCTTTGGAAACTGCCTCCCACTCACTCACTCATGCATATTGTGACCTGCATAGTTGAATGGTAGATGACTGGAAGTAGTTGATGTAGCTGAAGTCTTGGGATAAAGTCCTGCTCGATGTATGTTAGGAGATTTGGCCTTGACTTTCATGGGAACTTTGGTATGGTAAACTGGTATAGTTGCCTAAAAAAGCTGCAAATTCTTGCACTTTGTTCTAGAAGTCCACTTCATGGATGATGACAATCTGAGCTTTAATGTTGGTATGGCATGAAATCCCTCTGCCATCAACAACCCAAGAAGGAGGCTGTACTTCCAAGCATGGCTGGGTGGGGTTTGGAAGCCATGCTGCTTGTGATTCCGAAAGCTATGGAGAAGAATAAATCAACCATAGGATCAAATCTTTTTTCATGAGGGTGGGGGAATGGAATCCTTCTGCTATCCCAACTGCAATTTAAATCTTGATACCTATCTTAGGGTTTCATACCAGTTCCTATCACCATAATATTTCAGCCCATAAACTACCTGATGATTCAGTCATGATTTTTCCTGCCCCTGTAGCTTCCTTACAACATCGATTGGCCTAGATAAACAAAAAAATGTCTGTGTTGGGCTGGGTTGCATTTCTTATGAATGCTGTAGATCACATAGCCAAGATTTAAATAATTCCAAGCCTCATATTGTGGGGAAAGCCACAGATCTTTACTGACAAACATAACTGTAAAGAAAAATTGGCTGTGTAACCTAGCATCTGTCAGATGGTAATGATCTTTAGTGCATTTTTATTTTGGCTTGTAACATTAACACAATGGAATTGAAATCCTTTTGATCTAATGAAGTGTGTAAAACTGTATAAGCTGTGAGTAAGGCACAGCAGCATCAGGAACAGCCCATGTGCCACTGAATCTTACAATTTTTAAGATGGCTTTTAGCGAACACGTATTTTGTTACTGTTTTTGTATTTAGTTTGATAGACTGTTAAAGTACTAAGATTATCGTTTTTCTGGATAACTGGTATCACGGTTACGTCTCTAGTCTTTTTAATAGGGTTTTTTTTTTACATTGGATTCTGTGAGAAAAACACTTCTTTTCACTGATCTAGTATTTTGTCATTCTTTGTTCCTGTTTGAGTATAGGATAGAGGAACTATGTATTATTCCAAAATTATTTTTAAGCAAGTAGTAATAGCTGTTACATGCTTAAGGCTTCAGAATTTTAGTAGTTTATTTGCTCTTGCCATGTTTTTGCTTTGTTTTACCATTCCTATACCATATTTTTAAAAACCTATTTTAAAACCTGACATAGGCTACAAGCTTGCAAGAAGACCATGAAGTGATCCTTGTCAGAACAGATCAATCTGGAAGAGCATGGCCTGTGAACACAATGGCAGAACCACTGGAGCCGAAAGGAGGAAGACGAAAGAGACAGATGGTACACTTTATATAACATCTTTATTGAATGTAATTCTTAGACTGCTTTGTAAATTTACTATTATGAGGGCATAACTGGTGTATGTATTTATCGAAAGAGTAGGTAGGTAGCTGGGAAAACGAGTTAATTTTCAGTATAGTGACATGAACTAGATGGTGAAAAATAGCTTTGTTTTAAAGTTGTGGTGTTGCCCCTTAGAGTTTTCATGGGGAATTTATTTAAATATAAACTTAACCAAATGTTTTAAATCTTTTCAAGGTATTAATATATCTTAGCCAAATAAAATACACTATTTATAAATCATGTAAATATATATATTAAATCAAAAAAGATTAGTAGAGCATCTTTTCACAGCAAGCCAAATACCTTGATGATAACTTGTCTAGGTCCTAAAAGCTATTTGTTCTATTTTGTAGTTATGTGAAGCAAAACACTAAATAATGAAAAAGACATATGAATAGGGGGATCTTCATCCTCTTCAGTAGAGCAAAATATTGGCCTATGTACATTTTGGGGAAGCGGCCATGTCTACTTATAGCACTGTACAATGTCTAGCTCACTCTGGGTGATATTATATTGTAAATATTAAATGATTATACTGGCTCAGTGTCTATTTATTAGTCTATGTCATATTCATTGCAATGAGGGCTCCTGTTTCCTACTCAGTTCCATTTTACTTTTTCAAAAAATGTCTATAACTTTTAAAATTAATTCTTGCAGGCTGGGACATTTTAGTAAAAGCCCATTCAATATCCACAGAAGGATTCTAAGTTTGGGTTTTGAGCTTCTGAGAGCAGCAGGGGATTCACGTCTCTATTAAGTAATTCCTTGGCTAGTAAGACAGATCAACTTGACAAATGAGTGTGGTGAAAGAATTGTTATCCATTTTGGAAAAATACCATCACCACTTATGTCAGTGTCCACCTACAGTGTTCAGTCCTGAGCCTTTCCTGAAGAGATACCACCAATTGTATAAATCAGGATGCTGTGGACAAACATCTAGTATGAACTAGGATGGAGCTTCACCAGCTATGGCGACATCACACAACAGAGACATCAGCTTTGCATGAATTCTCCATGAGACCACTGTTGTTTCTGGCACAGGTCATAAAGTTCCCTGGGAGTTCAAAAACTGATCTGAGTTATGAATATCTTTGGAACATCCCATTCTCATGTACTGTTTGCTTTTTCAGTTAACTTCCATGGTTCATTTCTTAAACACTTGAACTCTTTAAACCCTTTTAGTGAAATCCTGGTCCCAGTGAAGTCCAGATTAATAGTCATTTTCAATCTCTCCATTTTCAGGGTGCTACTCACATAGATAAAGAAAGGGTCAGATACTTTCAGGATGATGATGATCTGAGCCTGAAGGATTTGGTCAAAAATGAAAAGATGAGAACAGCAGAGGATCAAAACTCACTATTCATGCGAATGGCATCAAAGGTAAGGCATAGTGTGAATGAATTTGTACTTAGGATTGAAATAGCATTTCCATTGTAAACCCTTATTTTCAAATTTCTTTTAAAAAATCACTGTTTGGGATTAATCTTCCTATTCTTGTTATTAGCCTGGATGTGGATTGTTTTGTTTTGTTTTTTGAAAGCTGGGTAAAAATTAGTTCAGCCGTTTGAAAGAATTAATTTTTTTCACGTATTAAGAATTTTGTAAAGATGATTTCTTTGCACCCTGATAACTCAAATGAAATTTTATTTTGGCATGTACACATGTCCTGAATGGTGGTTGTTTTGGCTTGTAAAAGATTTCTTTTAGAAATACATTTGCACATATAAAGGATGTTATGCATTAACATCTCAAATATTGTATGCTACCTTCCTTAGTGCTTTAAATATATTTTAGTACCGTGTTCCAAATGTCTACTGGGGTAGGTATATGTTAGTGTAATCTTTCTTATAGCTGTAAATGCATTTAGGTGTGTTTTACTTCTTCGTCAAGTACAGTGAGTAGAGAAGGAGACCTATCTTTTCATGAAGAACAAAATCAGGGTAACGCTCAAACTGATGAGATAGGATTCTGTGACTTCCATGAATTGGAGTCCTGCGGTGCAGTAGGCAAAGCTTGGTTAAGCTAAATCATTGATTAGGATGTTAAATTCCTAGTGTGTAGAGTTTACAAATATCACTTTCAGAAGGGATAGGTAAAGGAAGTGGGGTGGAAATATGAGTTTCAGACTATTGCCAGCAAAATGATGGTGCTTATGCCGACACAGCAACAGCGACCTTTTTAACTGAAGCTAAGGGTTTTTTTAAAAACAAAAAGAAATGGGGGGCATTGACTGATGATAAAGACCATTAGAATAGGATGATAAGATTAAACAAAGAGAGATTTTTGCAGATAAAGTAGGATTATATAATGGCCAGTGTGTGTGTGGTCTTCCCCCCCTCCCTCCCCCGTAGACTTTTAGCTACAAGATATTGGTGAGAAAACAGTAGTGGGAAAAAAGTAATGGTGCATGGAGCTAATAGTGGGAAATGAGCCTGGTGTAGTAAATAAGGCAGAAATTAAAGAGCATCTAGTTTTTAGTGACCATAATATCAAGTCTGAGATACTGATGAAATTCTGACCAGTGCAATTCAGTGAAGACACCTGTAAAATAATTAGTATGGGATCAAGGAGCCAACTTGGATATATGTGCTAAACTGATTATCTAGCATACTGATCAGGAAGTTTAGTTCCATTTGAGAGCCATTGTGGAAATACCTTTAAAACCATCAGTTCAGTGCACAGCAATTATAAAACACACACACTTGGTTTACTAACAAATGAAGAGAACATAAAACTGAAGAACTGGTGCTGTTCATGTAGGAGGTACTACTTAACCTTCAGATGGGATAATACCATACCTCAAGAATCTAAGTCCCTATTAGGCTAGGTTAAGAAAGTTAAATTTATCCTCTGTCGTGAATAGGGCTGGGTTAACCTAAGAGAAGTCTTCATAACTTTGACAAGTGTTAATAGAAAAAAGTTCTTTTGATGGGTCAGTGATGCAGAACTATAACAATTTATTTTTAAAAAATAATAAACTACAAGTCCATCAGTTTGGCAATATTTCGTGTAAAACATAATGAATATGCTGCATGAAATAAATTGCCGTGAAAGGCCATTGAAGCAGAGAAAGATAAATAAGATTTAAAAGTCTCAGTATCAGCAGAGGACTGAGGGACCTTGGCAACAGAGCTAAATGCAACAAAAGCTTCATGTTTTTGAAAGGCTCAATAGCACATATCCAGCCTGCCTATTGAAGTCCAAAGATCTGCCTGTAAGAGGAAGAATATGGGACTTCTGTTACTGATGATTCCTTAGGCACCTATCTTCATAATTTTCAAGTATGGTTGCAAAATTTGTAAAAATTTGATAATGACCTTGAGTACAACAGTATCAGGAAGAGGACCTGCAAGAAATCCAGACCCTTTTGGCAAAAATGGGATTTAATCCTTACCATTTGGCAAGTGACAGAAGAGGTTTTATTTCACGTACTTCCTGATACAGAAAATATTGGGGAGGACTGGAACTCACACTCTTCAATCACTTGGTTGTCAGAGAAAAGTTCTGATTATGTGTCAGGCAGCAATTCTACCTGTACTTGAGGATGGACTGGTTATGTGCTCTGGACCTAGTGGGCACTTATATGCATACAGGAAATACAGAACATCCACTGGATATATCTCAGATTTCTGATAGAGGAATAGCACAACCAAATCAATGTTTGGTCTGGTGTCTGTGAGGTGTGAGCTTATTAAATGCTGAGCATTAGTTGAGAGGGCTACTTAAGAACCATTTGTTCCTCTAATTGGATGATGGCTACCATTTCCTCAAGGATAAGAATATCTCTCTATTCTATTCATCAAGGTGCTAGAATCACTAAGATTCATGGTAAACTACCCCAGATGCCAGTTTTTCTGCTGCAAGACAAATGGAGAACCCTGCTGGACATGAAACTTACCTGAAAGCCTGCTTTTCTTGTACAAGAGTCCAAGAAGGAAAAAGAAAAATTGCTTTGCTTTCATGTTCCAACAGGGACCATGTCATAGATGTCGAGCACACCTCCAACCTTAGATAATCTTAGTGGATCCTGAGGGCTCAGTAATCAGAGAGCAACCAGAGACTTATGCACTGCAATTGGATGTTGGACTCCATTCAAAGAGTTTGCACCTCATAGGCTGTTTGTGTTGCAGAATAAAACCTATCCGATTCCAAACTAAGGACGATTTCTGCCTGGCATGGAGAGTTCACACAGAGGGATACCACGTTCAGGATGCTTACTCTTCACAGAGGTTCTATCATTAAGCATGGTCCTGGGTGTTCTGTAGGCTTTCAGAGACCTGGTTCTCAAAGGGTGGTTTTGATTCTGGATGGTTAGACCACTGATTTGTACATGAGTTAGGAGGGTGGGATTAGGGAGTCTTTGTGTTGGAAAGCCTTGCAAGTGTGGAACTGGGCAGCAACATACACAAGACTTTTGTCATTTATCTGGCAGGGAAGTGCAACACCCTCTAATGTAACTGTAAAGTTGTCCTTTCTTTGAGGAATCCTTCAGGCAAGACTTGGAAAAGATTTGTGAGCAGTTGGAAAAATCTAAAAAGCAATAACATCTGCCTGAAGGAAAGAATAAGGAAAGACCAGCTGTCCGGAAGTCTTTTTCTAGAGATTATCAAAACATTAGAAAACGAGTCGTCTCATCCAGATGTGTTTTATCATGACTTCTGACAAACATTTTGATTCTGGTCTCCGACCAGCACACTCAAAAGATAAAGACCAGATTCTGCTTGCAGTTAAGTCAATGGGAAGAAAACAAAAAACTTGGTTTCAAACACTATTTAAGTTTGCTAATTAAGTGTAGTTACATATTGCATCATTTACAAAATACCAGCATACAAAAGTAAGCAAATGAATAGTTAAGGACATCATAAACTCTCCATTTCCCACCTGCTATACTAAACACAGTCTAAATAACTGCATATTTCATCATAACACAACAATCTTATCTCTGACCCATAGATTTTTTTAGTGTATGTTTTTATCCTGATTTCAGTTAATGTATTTGTCAGCTGGTAGTGGAATTTATTTTATAGAGTACTTATAACTGCTGGCCAAAATTTAAAAACCTCGATGCCTAAAATTAATTCCTAAATCCGTATTTATTCCCAATCTCACAGATACTAAAGTTCTTAACTTTGTATGAGTAGCTCATTTTCATGTTCATGGGACTACTTATATATGTAAGAGTCATCCACATGTTGGAGTTCAATGAATGATTTAGTAATAGTCTTTATCTTGGATCAGAGGCGATTGAGGTTGAAGAGCTTGCCAACCATTCTGTATTGGATGTCAACTCTGGAGAGGAGCTTGTCAGCAATGAGGAGGAGGATGACAGCAAGGAGGATGGAGAAAAGGGTTGGAGCGATGACACAGCCTTGACTGACTCCTGTCTTGACTAGGAAGGGATCCCTTTCAGATCCATTGCTGACAACCGTCACAGACATGTTGTCATGGAGGAGTTGGAGGATGGCAACAAATTTTGGTGAATTTAAGGAGCATTCTCCACAGAGCTTCATGATTGATGGAGTTGAATGTTTTTGTGAGGTTTGAAGGCCATATACAGAGGTTGATGTTACTCACACTTTTCTTGAAGTTGGTGGGCAGTGAAGATCATGTTGATGGTACTCCAAGATGGCCTGAATCCACATTGCAATTCTGGGAGGATTTCTTCAGCCAAGGGGAGCAGCCGATTGAGCAGAATTCTGGCAAGAATCTTTCTGGAGGTGAACAACAGGGCAATTCCTCGATAGTTTTCACAGTCCGATTTGTCTCCTTTCTTGAAGAAGGTCATGATTATGGCATCCCTAAGATCAGCTGGGATTTCTTCTGAATTCCAAATCTTGAGTATTAAAGCGTGAAGCTGATGAGCCAGTTCTTCTCCGTCTACTTTTGGGGGGGAGAGAAAGGAACACCCACAATCTAAGCACTGACATCTGTTTGTCCATGCTCATGATCGTGAAGATGTTTACATAACCAAAGTAGTAACTGGTGCAGATGATTGTTGGACAGACCATTGCCTTATCCGCTTCATCATTTCCATCAAACTCGCACCAAAATGAAAAATGTGGAAGAAATCAGCCAGACAGAAGATCAACCTTGAGAGTCTTAAGGCCCCAACTAAACATGACCTTTTCCAGCAGTGCCTTACAAGGAAACTGATGAATACTAAAACCGAGATGGAGAACCCTGAAGATCATTGGAAAGCACTCAGATCAGTCATCCATGCTGTATGTGAAGGAACACTGGGCTTCTCAACTAGGAACCACCAAGACTAGTTTGAACAGAAAGATCAGGAAATCCAAGAACGGATCCGTAAGCGTAAGGCCTTCTGTGCTTGGCTGAATGGCATCAATTCAAAGCAGAAAAGCGAAATGAAGAACAAATGG